GGCAGGACTAGAACTCACCGTCTCCTGGTGATTGTCCGAAGACCATCCAGCTGGCTTCGTTGCCTAAGGCAGGACTAGAACTCACCGTCTCCTGGTATCTAAGGTGGGAAATACAGATTCCTAGCAACAGTCCCTGCAAACGATATTGGCGCTGCTGCTGATCCAAGAAATCCACAGAGCCCACCCGAGCCAACGGGAAGGAGGGATTTTATATCAGCCTACACAGAATTCTGCGATAAGGGCTCCAAGAGGCTAGTCCCTTTGCCCGCCCCACATAAAAACTTTGAAGCGTTTGCTTGCTGCTGATTAAGCAAGGAGGTGCTGAAACACCCGTCCTGCCTCGGGCTAAAGCAAGTTCATCTGAGCTGGCTTGTTTGGCCAGTGAGCCACGGGAGCTCAGCCTATCGCTCCGAATAAACAGAGGCCCTGGGTGGAGCTCGGCCCCACCTGCTTTGCTCACGGGGGGCCAGAATCCGGCTGAGAGTAATAGGTGAGAAACAGCTTCCTAGGCTGAGTAGGCTCTTCTACAGAGCCACACACCTCGGCCAAAAGCCACACAACAGGAGCCGAGGTGAGCGATGCACACCCCTCCGATGTTCGTCTCCACCTTGGCACAGGCAGCACAGCTACCTCGGCAGCACGAATAACGTCCAGAATACAGGAAGTCCTCGGCTTACGGCCCCCAAATGGCACCATGGGTAAGCAAGGCGGCTGCGAGTGAGTGTGTCGGTGCCCGGTTGTGATTAAGAAACATTACAGGGAAGTTTGTAGAGGCAGTTTTGAGCTAGTCCAAAGCTTGCTGGACCATGTTATCTTCCAAAGGATCCCCGGAGATGCACGTTAAAAGAATTGTTTCTGTTTCTTCCAGGTAAATTCAATAGTTCTCTTTATCCAGTTAGGTTTCTTGGTCTGGTCTAGAACCTCCTGCCACCCCAAAACTGGGGATTCAGGGGAACAGATAAGAATCCTTTTTAATAGCAGAAAAGGCAGAGAATCTTCTGGGTCTTTCAAAACTAATTTTTTTCGTAGAACATTCTCCATCCACTTCTTCTAGCGCGGGTCTCTTGGGGTTATTTATTCTTTTAAAAGTAGCTTTTGGGTCTCTGGTAGGACTTGTGTTCTTGGAAAGCAAACAAGGAAGAAGGGAATGCTCCTCTAGGTCCTTGGTAACTTCCTTTCCCTGCCTACTAGCTTGACTTTCTGGTTAATGTTTGATGTTGTGATAGTACCAGCGTGTACCTTGCTCCAAAGCGCCTTCCTTGGCCGGCTCTCCCAACCGTCAGAGAAGAGTCCCAAGTGTTGATTCAACAGGACAGCTGAGGCTGGGAAGGACACTGGTGGTCAGCTGACGGCTGGAGAATCTGCATACCCTCATTGCATCGTCCAATGTTGTGTGTGGTTACCGGGGTTTTGCTCAGAGCTTCTGGTTGAGGAACCGCTCAACCAACCAATCAACCTCCCACCCATCAGCCGGAGTTGCTCCTCAGGTCCTTCCACCCTCTGCTTCTCTTTCCCTCCTCCTAGGAGTAGGGAGCGGTGTATTTTTAAGCTCTGGTGTACTTGTAAGCATAAGACCACCGAACTGCTTGCATCGTCTACCACAGGGGGGGTGAGTAAGCATACATCCTGCCCCAAGGTGTCTTCTCCCAGTAGCTGAACAGGGCATAAATAAAGCTGGTGGATTCATAGCACAGATTGGTGTGTCTGGAAAGCTCAAGAGAGTGGGAATTTATCAACCCGTCCTTTGGTTTGAAAAGAACGCTAGAAGCCTGGATCCATCGAATAGGTAACGGAAGATCTAAAAACTTGGTTAATTGGCAAAGAGAAGGATAAGGTTGTAAGCAAGGGAGGTGGTGGACATTTCAGCTGGCCCAGAAGAAGACTTTCTCTTTTTTAGACAAGCAATTGCTTTCATCGTTTGAAAATGGTAAGTTTTCTAGGCTCCTAATGTCACTTGCATTGAAGCCAAATTAAATGTTGGGAATTAAATTTAAAAAACAAACAAACGATGGAAAATAAAAAAAAGATGGTTAGTAGAGATGGCAAAAGGAATTGTTTTAATCAGAGAAAACCTATCTACTTTTGTTTCGACCTGGAAATCGCTTTGAAATTTGTACTTGAGACATAAAAAAAAATCTTGGCTAGGATTTGCTGATTAGTATGTTGGTATAGAAATACAAAATATGTAAAAGTAAAAAGTTGAAGCTGTAATTTTATTTTGTACTTTACTGCACTGGGAAAAAAAGTTAGAAGTCAGTGGTTTTTTTTCCCCCCTCCTTTATTCTACACTTTTCTTTCCCTCTTTCTCCTTCCTTCTTCATCTTCATTTGTTTATTATGATAACCTTAATTAAAGAAGAAACTAGGAAGAGATTTGAGTAGTGGTGATGTCACCAGATTAAATAAATAGCCCCTTATTCAGTCATGGGCTGGTCCATCTTTATAGTAGTAATTCAGACAGAAGCTGGACTGGGATGTTTTAATTGTTTCCTGCCTTGAGTTGAGAATGAGGCTCCTTTTATCTTTTAGATTCTAGGATGAATAAATGAATCTTAACCAAAGCATTTCTTAATTACAGATACGCTGTAATTGGCTCTTAATACCTTGATCTGTTCATCATTCTTACGCTGTAGGGAAATGGGCAACTTTTTAATTAAAAAAAGTTGCCCTTGCCCCTTTATTAAAAATGTAATTATTTTTAATAGAAGTCTTTAAAATGGGGGCAGGTGACTTAAAATAGTAGTACTGACGCGTCTTTTCAGAAGTAAATTTGCCACCCTTGCAACGAGAAGAAGAAAATTAGGGAGAGGTTTTTCCAAGGGAATATCTCGGTGCACAGTTGTCCTTTTCTTTTCAAAAGACTTCGTTTTAGTCACACAAATCTTTCCAGATTTATAGCACAGTCACTGGATGGGGGAAAATGTTATAATGATGCAACTTCTTTCTAGATCTGTGCCAAGATTGCAGTGAACGAGTTGTTTTTCTTGCAGAATTGTTATAAAAAGTAATTCTATTCCAATGCTTCCCCAAAGTGAATGGTAGGGACAGTTGACAGTGGAAAAGGTTAGAAACATTAGGTTTGGGGAGAAGAGATGATACTTTGGGGCTGTTTGGGCTGAAAAAGCAGGTGGCCTAGTAACCCTAAGCCCCTTGTGAAAAGATTTATTCAGATTTACAGAATGTCTGTATAGGGGGCTGATGTCACTGGCCAGCTAAGACGGGGAGGCAGAATTTCCTACAGCTCAACTAAGCAAAGATTAATAAAAATGGGGCAGTTGGTCTTCATCCTAAATTGCTTGCCTGTCATAAAGTTATGTTTGTAATGAGTGCCTTTCTTGGAAAAACAAATGGAGTGTATCTGTGTGTCTCAATGCCTAGAATAGAAGGCGGGAGAAATGTCAGGAATGGGTAAACTAAAGAGGGAAACGTGACAACCTGGTGGGGGGGGTCTCTGAACACGCTCCCTAAAAATACAAGTATATTATTAGTTTGATGCTAGGAGAGAGACGTCCAGAATATCCCGGACAAAACTCCACACCCATTGAGTTCTGGAAGCTTGGACACGTAATTGTTTTGCCTTGCTTGGAGTTTGCAAACAAAGCGTTCCCGGCACTAAGAAGAGAAATGAGAGGTGCAGAGTTGAAAGAACGGCTATAATCAAGTCAAAAAAAAAAAAACACCAAGAAATTGTAGTTTCTATTCTGTCGAAACTCAGAGGAACAGAAGGTTCCCTCCCCCCCCTTTTTTTACCCCCAGCAGTTGGGAAATATAAACAGCAATTACTAAACTTTTGAGCAACACTTGACTTTCTAATTTAAAACACAGAGTGTACTATTAAGGCTCTGCAAACGCTTTGGAGCCCTTGTCCGTGGCTCTTTAAAGCAGCTGCATCATTGGCAGCTACAGTAGGTTGTGTGTAAAATATTTGCTGTGTTTTGCTCAGAGTCTTCAAGGTAGGTATGTGAAAGCTTTCAGCACAGCGAGAAAAACAGGACGCAGCAGTCTGTTCAAATAGGAGCGTTTCAACTAAAGCAAATATAATCAGATGGGCAAAGTATTCTAACAAGATAAAGATATCTTCAAATCTTTGCCAGACACAGGTTTTGTTTTTTTTGTTTTTGGATGATGGGATAATTTTAAGCTTCCAGCTGTTACTTCTGCAATCGTGAGGGCTATCTGTTTCTGTAACTCAAAGCCAAGAAATTTGCCATATGTAGGAGGGTGAGCAAAGCCATCCAGTTGGAGTAGGATTTCCAATTCTCTTTTGCTTGGCGAAGTTTGCTGGTTGAATCTCTTTTGGAACAGCCTACTCTAGGTTGGAACTGCCCCATGGAACTCCTTGGAGAAGGAAGAGGACACTAGCAGGTGGGGTCAAAATAGATGAAAAAGAGGATGTAGGAAATGAGCAGGATGGGCCCGAGGGCGGGGTAAAACACATCATCAGTTTGGAGTTGTTGGGCAGCCATCAAGAACTCAACTCCTGTTCCTGATCTCTTGAGCCTGACAGAAGAATGTACAAGGAGGTGATGAATAATCTGGCTTCTCTTCAAGCAATTCACCTTGATCTTTCCTCCCAATCAGGGCACTTTTCCTCATGTGGTGCTCCTCCCTAATACATTCACCTTTGCTCCCTCCTCTCCAGCAGATGAATACGACAATACACGCCAACTGGTCTTCTCCAGCCCCAGAAGCGCTCCTGACCTCCAGCATGGTTGCTACCTTGGCCCATTTCTTCTCGCCACCGATGGTCTCCAGCCATTTAATTGTGGAGGATGGTTCCCAACTAAGGGCTGACCAGAATCACTCCCAGGAGATCCAAACCCTCTTTTTGACCACGTCCACAGCAAAAGCCATCTCGGGACTCTTTGTCTGGACGGCCCTGATCCTTACTTTCCACCAGGTGGGTGGTAGCGCTGCCCAGCCCTGTTGGGACTCCATCTTTCCATGTGGCTGTGTGAGATGGGAAAGTCCACACCTTCAAGGCATCAATTTGAGGAAAAGCCATGGCTGTTTGATCTGGTTAGGTGGAATCTTGCTTCCTATGCCATCACACCAGGTTATATCAGTGTAGAACTTCTCTGTCGCTTCTAGTGGCCATGCAAGACTTGAATGGTGGTATTGTTTCTATGTTAAGATGGTTAATTTAGTTTTGCTTAGAAAGAGAAGGGAAAAGTGTTTTCAATTTGGAAAGAGAGACCCTGTTTTGATGGTTTTGTGCCTTTTCATGTAGTCTTTTTCCTGGGGAAGGGAGAAGATATTATATCCCACAGGGCTTTTGACTCACCAACTAAGGCAGCTTGGCCTTCCCAGTTTAGTAGGGATTTCTCTGGAGATGGTCTTTATAGGCCTGCCAGTAATAGCCTAGGGCATTCTATTGCTTTTCAATTCTGATATTTTATAGAAAAATGATGGAAGTTGTGTCCATCAACCCCCCTGGCAAGATCTAACCTTCTTATCGTTGCTGGCTGCTTGTTCACTTGTGGTTTCCCCTTTAGAAGAAGGAAGTCGTAGAACTAGTATTGCACCACCGACGGTGCTGGTTGAAGCATCTTTGGAAGGCCGGATTTCCCCTGGCTGCTTTGGGAGACCTGAAGCTTCACCTAACACCAGGTTGTGTCTATGGAGATTCTTAGTCATCCAGGTCATGGTGGTGCCAAAGGTGCTTTTTCAAGAGGCAACTGGACTTTCCGGTTTCCCTTTGAAGACGTTTCGCTTCTCATCCAAGCAGCTTCTTCCGCTCTGCTTCAGCTCATGCATTGGGTGGCTTGAGAATCTCTACAGAGGTTTAGCTGTCCAATTTGGGATGAAAACCCTTCGAACGGAGTGGGAGCATGGACGGATTTCCAGAGGAAATATGACTGCCGACTACAAGAACCATTTGCGCTACTCAGGTGATCCCGAGGATACAGATAAACCTCCAAGTGGCCTCAACAGCCCTCTAAAAGGATGCAAATGACCAGCTGTCTGCAAGGAATATCAATCCTTCCGTTTCCCACCATCCAGTCAGTGCCGAAGAAGCTTCTTGGATGAGAAGCGAAACGTCTTCAAACCAAAACCAGAAAGCCCAGTTGCCTCTTGAAAAAGCACCTTTGGGATTAGTGCCAGGATGAAGGCCACGCAAGCAAATATGTGTGATATTTGCGTCCCCTTGCTCCCAAAATTCTTTTTAATTGGTCTTAAGATGGTCTAGCTATAGCACATTGATCCTTATCGGCTGTTGATTGATCCTTTTCTCCCTGGGAACGCTGCCTCTGATCCTGTGTTGCGTGTTCTTCCTCTTCTTCCTCTTCCCTCAGATCTACTCGCACCTGAAAAACTACACCATTCCCAACGAGCAGCGTTACATCATCCGGATTCTCTTTATCATCCCCATTTATGCCTTCGACTCCTGGCTTAGCCTCCTGCTAATCGGCAGCCATCAGTACTATGTTTACTTTGACTCAGTGCGGGACTGCTACGAAGGTGAGCTGGGATTCACGGCTAGCCCTGGAGCACTTGGCATATCCCAGATGCGCGGGCGTGGAGGCAGGCAATCGGCCATAAACTGAGCCGAAGGTTCCAAGTTCAAAGGCCACGTTCTATGCAATCCTTCCTCCAGAGCGTGGCCAGGGAGGACAGCCTATTTGTAGGGACACGCGTGGAGGAAAGGCCGCCATATTTAAAATCTGGTGACTTGGTCACGGTTTCTGCCATCGGATTGAGCTCTGTGTATGTCTGACAGCCAGTTTGGTGTGGGGGTGAAGGCGCTAGTCTGGAAACCAGGAGGCCGTGAGTTCTAGTCCCCCCTTAGACAGGAAAGCCAGCTGGGTGACTTTGGGCCAGTCCCTCTCTCAGTTGAGCCCATCTTACAGAGTTGTTATGGGGAAAAGAGGAAGGAGGATTATACTGTAAGTTTTGCTGTCTTGAGTTACTTATCGAGTAATAAAGGTGGGATGAACATCACCAAATAATCTCTCCCTTCCCCCACCCTTTTTTGGTAGCATTTGTGATTTACAGCTTCCTGAGTCTCTGCTTCGAATATCTTGGAGGAGAAAGTACCATCATGGCGGAAATCCGAGGAAAGCCCATTGTGTAAGTTGACCATCACTGTGGTGTATCTATCTCTTGCTTACAATTGGGAGTATTTCACACTCAACATATAGTCTTAAGGTCCCATGCTTGGGCCGATTTATGACTCTGGTTTTTCTTAGTTCTAGTTGTCTCTACGGAACTTGCTGTCTCCAAGGGATGTCTTACTCCATTGGGTTCCTTCGGTTCTGCAAACAGGTGAGGAGCCTCTCATAGAATAGAGCTACAGCCGTTCTCCATCATCCATGGTACTTCCAGGGAAGCCATTATCTTTATTTATTCCCCCTCAAAACTTGTTTCGGTTTCGGTTCATTTTTCCCAGGCAAAATCTTGCAGGTTCCCGTTGTCTGTACTGTGAAATATTTCCGTTTCTTCCGCCTTTATAGGCATAGATGGAAATTGGAGACAGTCGTTGCCAAAAAGACACTCAGACTGTGGAAATGAGATTTTAGCAGGGAGAATCCAGTTGCTTTCCTGGTTGCTGGACACCCAACCAGCTTTCATCACTCCTAGCGAGGCAGCCATGGGTGATGGGGGCATTTGTGGAAGCCGTGGTAGATTGGAGCGTTTTTGGGGGATTGTCCATCCTAGATTGGACCCAAAACGTGAGGTCCGGATGATGGGATTAGGTGACAACAGAGGCACAGAAGCTGGGTGGTTTCAATGGAGCCGTTTCTTTGCTTCCTTCTAGGCCACCCTGCAGTTCTGCATCATCAAGCCGGTCATGGCCATCCTCACCATCATTCTCCAAGCATTTGGGAAGTACCACGATGGTGATTTCAAGTGAGAATGAAAGGGATGGGGAGGAAGAGGGATCAACTGTGATGGGCTTGGAAAGGGAATGGTCCCTAACAAGGAATTCTGCCTGTCTGAATGCTCTGCTTCCCAGCATCCACAGCGGGTATCTCTACATCACCATCATCAACAACTTCTCGGTCAGCCTGGCCCTCTACGCTCTCTTCCTCTTCTACTTTGCCACCATGGATTTCCTGAGGCCTTTTGAGCCAGTCCTGAAGTTTCTTACCATCAAGGCGGTCATCTTCCTCTCCTTTTGGCAAGGCGAGTCACTCTACTTCCTGTCGTGGGTGGGGAGGGCCTGAAATAGGAAACTTCAGTTCTCTATTAATCCATTCACCCTCCTGGACCAACTCCAGTGTTTCTCAACCTCAGCCATGTTCAGAGGGGGGGGGGGACTTCAACTCCCAGAATCCCCCAGCAATTCTGGGAGTTGAAGTCCACCCATTCTTAAACATGGCTAAGGTTGAGAAACACCGCTCTGTCGATATAACGTGTTTGGGCTAACATTTCACAGGGGGGGGAAGAGAAGATGCTCCACCCGTGGTTGAAGGGAAAAAGTTGAAGAAATTTAACTCCCTCTAGTTGGTATTTCAATTGAGAGTTAATTCATTTGTAGCAATGCAAGTGGCCTAGATGAGCTCCAAATTTTGGAAGACCCACACATGCAGGACAGAAAGCCTTGAGAAGTCTCTATCCCTTGGAAAATAAATATTACATGAAGTATGAGCTTGCAAAAAATGTTGGCTTGTTCTAATAGGACCCAGACAGACAGACAGACAGACAGACAGACAGACAGACAGACAGATAGATAGATATAGATATAGATATATAGATATAGATATATTTATTTATTTGTGGATCCTTCCCACCCCAAAAGTAGAGGAAACCTAGACTGGAGCAAACCCTAGATGTAGATTTTGCTAGTGTGTTTTGTCAATTTGTCAGTATTTTTTAAAAAACAACAACCAAGTCTTGGTGGGATCTTGTAATTCTGAGGAATTCGGGTATGGGACAATTACGTAGGTTCCTTCAGACGTTTCCTGGACCTGTGAAAAACCTACTTGAGAGCCTTTGCGGATGTTTTGCAACCATTCCTATTTTGCAGGGGTGCTCCTGGCCATCTTGGAGAAATGTGGGGTCATCCCAGAAGTTCAGATCATTGACGGGAAGGCAGTGGGAGCTGGCACCGTTGCAGCCGGCTACCAGAACTTCATCATCTGTATCGAGATGCTGTTTGCTTCCATCGCTCTCCGTTACGCTTTCACCTGCCAGGTGTACCAGGAGAAAAAGGAAAGCACCACAGGTAACTTGCTTCAAGAGAACCTGCTCCTTCGGTTATACGGAAGGTAGGCAGGGAAAGGAAGGGACGAGCAAGCAGAAAGGTAAGCTGGTGTCTTCTTTTCCTAGGGCCGATAAGCAAGAATTCTGTGTTTATCTCCCTTCTGTTTCTCAAACTTGATTAAAAAAAAACATTTCCTCCCAGTTTCTTCCCAAATAGAAGATAAAGCAGGTAAACGAACCAAGTTGGGAGTATCTTCTAACTTATTTAAGGGGGGGAACAGCCAAAGGATGGAGGTGAGAATGGCCTGCTTCCATCATTAGATGCTCTCCCCAACAGCCAAGGGCCTCCTTAGCTTCCTACAGAACCGTTCAAGTGGGTAGTTCCCTCTTTTGAGGCCTGTTCCATTCTGGAAGGTGTAATTAGGGATATTTCAGCACGACGGGAAATAGTAGCCATGGACCCTAGGCCACCTCCAGCTGAGTTCGGCTCCAAACAAACCCAAGAGAAATGTGAAATTTTCAAGTCATTGGGAGATGTGGTAGAAAAGACACGTCAGCAGGAGAAACCAACCTGCCGGAAATCCTCAGGGCAAATTTATTTTTCTTTTCCCTGGTGCCTTCAGGCAACATTGGGTTCCACCTTCCCGGCAGGCTGGTTTGTGCAGGTGAACTGACTTCTTAGTGGCCTGCTTGAAAAAAGAAAAAAGCACCTGCTCGTCCATCGATTCTTCTCTTCTGGTCTCTTCCCTTTTTCTTCTAGCAGGCGTGGCCCCGTTGCAAAGCATCTCCAGCGGGCTGAAGGAAACGATGAGCCCTCAAGATATTGTCCAAGACGCCATCCACAATTTCTCCCCGACCTACCAACAATACACGCAGCAATCCATGCAGGAGACGGAAGGGGGTTTGGGGCAGAACGGCCACGTGAGTCCTCCGGTGGAGGCCTCGCAGAGCAAGAAGAGGAGGAGCCTTGAGAAACGGATGCTGATCGTCTCCGACGAGGAGTTGTGAAGAGGCCGCTTGTGAAGAGGAGAACTTGTGTTTATCGGGTCTTCTCACCTTGGTCCAGACCGGCAGCTGCCAACCGAATCGGACCACATTGTTGAACGAAGCAACAGAAGCGTCTCATTCTTGTTCTCAGTGGGCTGTTGAGGGAAGATCCCCAGATATTGGGTTGACTTCTTAAATACAGCTGGATCTACCTTTTCTTATGTGGTGTTGTGGTGAGTGGCAGAAACACTCAGGATGTACTTATTGTTGGTCCTGGTGCAGCCTGAGGAAAACAGAATTTCTCAACGGACACAGGTCCTCCCATTCCCAATTATCCCTGGAGATAATACTGATTATTGGCAGAGACGGAACAAGGCAACGTAGGAAGGGATAAAATTGGATGGAATCGACACTTTCATTCTGCAACTGCAGCTCAATCCCATTGGAACTAGATTCCCATTGTCGTTCTTTTTTGGTTTGCTTGTTTGTGGATCCAATCCACCGGGATGGGAATACAATAGCTCAGAGCCCCAGAGAAATAAAAGCACGTTTCTTCTTTCCAACACAAGGAGCTGCAGCAAGGTGAGGAATTAATAGCGCCAGATTCCTTTATGAAGTTGCACTGAGGCTGTCAAAGCTTCTGATCATAGAACGCACCTTGGATGTCAGAGGAGTTGTGGCTTCATCGTGGAAGAAGAGGCGTTGCATTACGTTGAAAGTGTGAACGTGTTGATATAAGGCGCTTCTTCCTACCTGGAGGGTCCTGTGTGTGATGGCTATGAATTGCGTGTCAATCTGTACATTTCAACAACAAAAAAAATTATAAAAATATTTGTAATACTTTTTCCCAGTGCTGTCTAATGCCGACAAATTTACTTTGTGAGTATTCCGAGAGTTTTGGGCTGGATTGAATCTGGGATGGCCCATGGTTAATTATTGGTGCTATAGTTCACGATTGAAAACGAAAAAAGTGTCACATCGTTGATGTTATAAAGTAGAGGATTTTAATGGCCGTCAAATGCAAAATAGCAATGAAAAACTTTGGTCTAGGCTGCAGTTGGCTTGCAGCTCTTATTTGTAATTCAGCATTCCTGATGTAAGGCACGTCATGTTTCTCTCGTCTTTTGTAATCTTAGGATTTGTTTTGCACAGCCCAGAATTTGTGGCTGCCTTTCATCTTCTGACAGACAGCAAAATTATCAGCATCCACATCAATCCCTGTTTTTTCCTTCCCTTCTAAAATTGGTTGCCTTGATGCTGACCAGAGTTTGATAATCACCCCACGATACCCTTTTTATTGGCACACAGTTATGTGACACTTATTGCTACCTGCAAAATTGTATTAAATTGCTCCCTCTGTGTCACCCTCCTCCAGAGAGGGTTATAAGCTGCAGGTTACTACTAGATCTGGGCAACCTTAAGAAGGTGTGGACTTCAACTCCCAGAATTCCCCTGCTACCATGAGGTCCACCCATCATAAAGCATGCTGGCAGGGGAATGCTGGGAATTGGGAGTCCAGTCCTCTTAAAAGTTGCCAAGTTAGAAAAAAGAACCACTGTACTAGATCAGGGTCTCCAAACTCCAACTTTGTGGGCTATCTTTCTGGAATTCTGGGAGCTTTTAAGCCCACAAGTCTTAAAAGTTTCCAAGTTTGGAAAGCCCTGTACTAGATAAAGCTTTGAAAAATAATAATAATAATAATAATAATAATAATAATAATAATAATAATAATAATAATAATAATA